TTCTGGAGTCTGAGTGCTGCCCAGAAGTTAGAAGGAGAGAGAGGACTGAGGGCATGTGGCATTCCAGCAGAGCTGCTGCTGAGACAGCCTATGCCACAGGGTTTGCCTAACCAGGAAAGAACCAGCTACTGACCCCTGGAGACAGGGACCGGTGCCTTCCCCTGGGTCTATCCTGGATCCTGGGCAATAGGGCTACCTCGAGGAACAAAAGGACCCCAGCAGCTGAGGAAGGAGTTCAATTCCTGGGACACAGGTGAGGTGAACCCTGAGGACCCTGGAAAACCCCCGTGAGAGAATAATCACCAGAGAACACAGAGCCTGAGGATGGTACCTGCTGATGGAGGAGGCTGAGCACGGACTGATCTCAAAACTGATCTACCCCTACCACTCGGCTCTGCACCACCCCACCGCTCACCAGCACACCTCACTCTGAAACAGCGTCTAGTGAGAGCCGGGGAAGAGCCAGACTCGGGGCAGAGCAGGAGGGAGAAAGTGATGGAGAAGCAGAGCAGAGCCAGCCGCTCCCTGCTTTCCCACGCAAGCTTCCAACTAAAGCAGGCCCAGCAGCCTGAAGAAGGGACACTAAATGGCTTCAGGTTTTGATTTATATATTTGCCTGGTCGTTCTAATTTCTGAATAGAGATTACCCCTCACCTGGGAGTGAGCAGCAAGGTTCAGAAGCTTTCCTGGGTTTTCACCCAGAAGCAAAGAAAACTTTACCCGGGTCCATCCCCCAGTGAAGTATAAAGGAAGGCTAGAAACAACAAGTATTATGAAACCGAAATGCATCTTGGATGTGTAAACAAAATCCACTTCATTTTCTCATCATACGACAAGTTGTGATGGTTCCTCACACAGGTTAAAGGCTCCCCTTCCACTGGGACTGAATTACAGGGACCCAAGATTTTCCCTTCCAAGTCCTCCTCTCTGCCTTCTTTTCTGCAGCCTAGAACACCCCTGATCCCATCTCTTCCCCCTCTTCACCACCAGTAGCCTCCTCTTTAAAGCCTCCTGAGACCAGCCCAACCCCAACCAGGGGTTCTGAACACGTCCGTCTCTTCTTGGGGAGGGGAGAGAGACAGGGGGCCACTGGCCTCTTATGCCTGTTACGGCAGGACCCCCCATCATCCTAACCTTAGAGCATGCACCATCTCCCTGCCCCATCAAGCATTGTCACCATCTGTAGTGGGTGGAATAGTGTCTCCCAAAAGTTCGTGTCCACCCAAAACCTCAGAATACAGAAATAAGGTATTTGCTAATGTAATTAATTACAATTTCAAGAGGAAATAATACTGGATTTGGGGTAGGCCCTAAATCCAATGACTGGTGTCCTTGTTAGAATAGGAGAGGACACAGACACACTAGAGGGAAGAAGGGCCAGGCGAAGTGGCTCACGCCTGTCATCTCAGCACTCTGGGAGGCCAAGGTGGGCAGATATCTGAGGTCAGGAGTTCAAGACCAGCCTGACCAACATGGTGAAACCCCATCTCTACTAAAAATACAAAATGCAGCCAGGCATGGTGGCGCACGTCTGTGGTCTCAGCTACTCGGTAGGCTGACGGGGGAGGATCGCGTGAACCCGGGAGACAGAGATTGCAGCGAGCCAAGATCACATCACTGCCCTCCAGCCTAGGTCACAGAGCAAGACCCTGTCCCAAATAAAAAGAAAGAAAGAAAGAAAGAAAACAAGGGAAGAAGACCATGTGAAGATAGAGGCAATAAACAGGAAATCAGAGTCATGCTGCCATAAGCCAAGGAACACCTGGAGTTGCTAGAAGCCTAAAGAGGCACAGAGTGTCACAGCAGTCCTAAGGGACTGACACAGTTCTCACCCCATGCTCCAGCACAGCAACAGGCAACAGCTAATCCTTGGCAAGAGGAATGCAAGGCTGGGGCTGGGGCCCAGTGCCCTTTGCCAAGCCTGGGAGGACCGGGGAAGGAGGACTGGGCTGTAACTTTCAAATAACCCCCCCATACATATTCCCCTGCTGAGCACCCCCAAGAGAAAAGCAGGCATCTGCTCCCCGGTCACCTAGAGGAACATGTCCAGAGCCCTAGGGGCCCTTGCCTTCCCATTCCTGGAAACCTACCGTCCATCCCGTCCTGTGGCTGGGGAATTTTCCATCCTCCCACCCTCAAGTCAAAGTCATTAGATTTAATCATTAACAAGGCGGGTGTTAATTAGCAGAACAGGGTGATTGTCCATGCTGATGAGGACACAGCTGGACATCAAGAATAGCTGATACAACAAGGCTGTGGAGAAGCAGGACCTGGCTGAAAAGAGGCAGGGGCTGTGCTTCTGTAGACAACTTCCCCCCGAATTCTGAAAGCACTGAAATCCCCATTCTTCGTCCCTTTTTTTTTCAAGAATCAAAGGAGAAACCAGTTGCAAGTGTTTGAGAGGTGTTCAGCACATTACGGACAGTATCTCATCCTACCCCTCACTATATATTATTATAATAGGGATACCTTTATTAATCCAGTTTTAAGGGTGAGGACATTGAAGCTCAGAGAGGTTAAGCACCTTGCCCAAAGTCACAAAGCTGCTAGGTGGCAGAGCTAGGATTTGACCTTAGGCAGACTTCTCTGGAGGCTGGGCATTTACCCACCAGGCTGCCAGGAGCTAGTGTGGAGGGGCAGAAAAGGGTCTTTGCTATCCTGCAGCACATTGTGCTTCTGATTTTGTAACTCTTGGCTGATCATGACTCACCCACCACTGCCCTGGCTCCTGTTAGGCCATAAGTCGTGTGTCAATGGACAGACTGTGTCTCTTTTATGCTCTGCTGTGTCCCCAGCACTTAGCATAATATCTGACACATAAGAATAGCCAATAAATATTTGTTAAAAGAATAATTATTTTTTTGAGATGGAGTCTCGCACTGTCTCCCAGGCTGGAATGCAATGGGGTGATCTGGGCTCACTGCAGCTTCTGCCTCCCAGGTTCAAGCAATTCTACCTCAGCCTCCGAAGTAGCTGGGATTACAGGTGCCCACCACCATGCCTGACTGATTTTTTCTATTTTTAGTAGAGACGGGGTTTCACCATGTTGGCCAGGCTGGTCTTGAACTCCTGACCTCATGATCCAGACAGCTCAGACTCCCAAAGTGCTGGGATTACAGGCATGAACCACCGCACTCAGCCAAAAGAATAAATTTAACCTCTTAGCAGGTTGGGGATAGAAGGGGCTAGCTAGAGGCTAGCTAGATATCTGTCCTTCTGGATTGTCGATAATCATAGTGTTCAAATGCATCTCAAGAGGTCATCTGGTCCATGACCTTGCTTCAGGTTCAGCCATTACCCTGCCATAGCCACCAAATCTGGTTTACTGGGGAAAGTGCTGGCCTGGCTTCTGGTCCTTGGGAAAGCCATTCCTCCCTATTGCCTTGATTTCTCCTCTCTAGGCTGAAGGGTTCAAGTGGCTGTTCTTGAAGTCTCTTTCACCCTACCAGTGGATATGGGGGTTCATGAAGAGGCAAAGCACTTTGAAAATGAGCATCCCCTCTGTTTGAATCACCAGCTCTGGCCCCATTCCCAAGACTGCCAGCTGCAGTGGGGTGTGGACTCAAGCCTGGCAGAATTGCAACTCTGGGCTTTTTCACAGGCAAACCAGGACAGTCAGAGGAGGCTGGGCTTCCAAGTCGTCCCCTAGGAGGCCACATATCTACTCCAATGCTGCTTCCGGGGCTCACAAGAAGCTCTGGAAACTTCTTGCAGGGAAGCCTTCTACATGGGCTCAAACCCTGCGGGACACACAGTCTCACTGCAGGGGACCCACGTCTCTCTTCCAAATCAAGGCTTACCCCCACCTGGCCTCCCTCTGTCTTCACAAGGGTTGGCCCCTAAAGGCTCTCAGTCATTTCCAAAGGAGCAAAGCCACCCTAAAAGACAATGATTCACCCCGCATGAGGATTGTCAGAACATATGCCTCAAGCTCTGAGATGATTCCAAGAGTTTCCAGAAACATTTGAGAAACTGCAGCACATTGGCATGAGCATATGGCTTCCTGGGGGACCACCTGGATGGGGTCGCTGCTCCTTTGGGTGTATAAAAGCCATCTCTGGCCTCATCTCCTCTGAACTGTGTAGACAAAAAGTGTGTGTGCATCATGTTTTCAACAAGCTGGAGTGTGCCTCTGCCACACCAGCCAGGCAGGGAGAAAGGCAAAGATACAGGGAAGGTCCTGGGCCTCCTGGGTTCTAACCCGGTTTCTGAGACTTCCCGGCTGTGTGACAGGAGCACCCTCAAGTCAGAACAACAGAATATTAGAACAGAAGAAACCTGCACAGTCACCTGGTCCCCTTCATTTTCAAGAGAAGGAAACTGAATCCAGTTGGGGGTAGGGCAAACAAGCCCAAGTCACCCAGAGAGTTGGCAGCAGATGGAGAAACTGAACCCCGACCTTTCGTATCCTGTCCCAGGTGCCCATCTTAGCAACACCTCGCTACACTACCCACCCCTCGAGAAGTAAAATAAACACCCTAATACCTGCCCTCCCTCCTGGGTAGTTGTGACTATTAGTAGATTAATGCATGAGGAGGTTCGTGGGGGTGAGAAGGGTGCACAGATAAAAGCAGAAAGTGCTGAGAGCGACAAAGAGCAGCCCCATTAACTTACAGTCCAGTGCCGAGAATAGGGGAGGGTGACCCAGTCACATCCCTGTAACGTTAACTATTTCATGGAGCCAGCAGTGCACCACATACAGCTGCTGCTCCTCCAGCCCGGGCTGTGACTGCAGCAGGGCTGTGAACACAGGCGCCTAACATAGAAACATGCAAGCTGAGGGAAGGAGTTGGGATGAGGCAGGCTCTGACTCTTACTCGCTCTAGGAAAGGTTCCAAGAGCAGGCATCAGGCCCTCTGCAGTGCCTGGGGCCTGCGTGTGAGCAACCCATACCTTCGTACACCCACCGGCCCAACAGGCACTCACACAGCTACGGACATAAATAAAAGTCAAAATGACAATAAACACACACCTTCACAGACAGACCCATTCCAGCTTACCCAGCACCAAAGGCTGCACCCAGCCACACTCCACCTCCCTGCTTCCCATAAACGCTTCGCCCACTTTCCCCAGTCTCCTCCTCCCAAAGCCAGTACTGGGAGCTATTGCTCTTCCCTCTCCCTCCTCTCTCCTCCTCTGCCTCCACCCCAGCACCGGCTGCTGCAGGACCCCTCTTCCCACGCAGCCCCTCATCAGCCATCTCTCCAGAGCTCCAGCTCTCTTAGTCTCTCTCCTTACCTATGGCTTTCAGGACAAAGGACTCTGAGAATCTGGGACTTGAGAAGGCAACACAGAGTGGGTGAGAGACTTGGGGAGGAATTTCCATGACCAGACCAAAGTTTGAGGGAGAGAGAGCAGGGAATACGAAAGGACCAGGCAAGCTGGATGACTGGGCTGGGGGTGGAGAGGTGACCACCCCCAACTCTGCCATCCTGCTAGGAGATAACAATACAACCAGCAGCTACAATTAACTGAGACCTTCTATGCACCATGACTACCTATATGATACTCAACCCTAGGAGGTAGGATCCTCTCTCTGTTTTACAAATGAGATTGAGGCTCATGCGGGAAGCCTGAATCCCCAGACACAGGGATGCAGGAATCCTGGCTTCACATCCCACAGTCCTGGTAGAATGGGATGGGGAATAGACAAGTCACCTATGTAGAGGATATTTTGGATCCTGGTCTGTGTATGTGTGGTTGGGAGGTGGAATGAGTAGGGAGGAAGCCAGAGCAAGCAACTGGGCCCTAATGGGCCAGGTAGCTCCCTAGCCCCAACCCTTATCCTCTCTGCTTCGGGGCCTTCACAATCTCTTTCTCCACTGTCACTTCTCGTGGGGGGATCTGCACAAAGGTTGGGAATGAAGGGAGACAGGGAAGCCCAACCAGCTGTTTTCCATCTGGCCCTGCTACCCAGAGAGCAAACGGGCCCTGCAGGTTCAGGCTGGGTGTGGAGAGTCCATCCTGGAGTCCAAACGACAGCAAAACAGGGGCCAGTTAACATGCAGACAGAGATCCAGCTGGCCCACTGGGTCCCCATAACCCCAGCCTTACCCTGAGAAAACTGAGCCTGACATGTAAAAAGATATGGCTGCGGGGAGGGCAGGACGAGTTATTTTGGGAGGTTAGAGGGGAAGGGGCCTTGTGAAATCAAGGTCCGGGAAGGGCTGCCCAGGAGAGGAGGCAACTGAGGGTTGAGGCTGACCCCTTAGAGGAGAGGATGATCCTTGGATTCTCCCAGAACCAGGCGTAAATCTGTATGGAACTTGCCGGTTGCTTGGTTTAAGAGGCAGACCCCTTCCCCTCTTCCAGCACTCCCTGTGCTGGCCTCCCCATCCCCAGTTCTCTCCACTCTCTCCCCGGCAAAGATGCATCCAGCCCTACTCCTCCCCAGGTGCCCAGCACCTCCCCTTCCCCTGTCTAGTGATCCCCAGCCCTTAGCACCATTCGCACCAGCTCCTGTGAATATCCTATCTCCCTCACTGGCTCGTATTGATTGGCATCTCAGTCTTCCACCAAACTAGTAAGTTCTTCCCATAGTCTAACCTCCATCCCTTCAGTTACAGCAGCTCCTTTTCAGTATCCTGCCAATAGTGAAATTGGAAACCAACACTATCCGTAAACAAGCCACCCCACCAAAGAAGTTCCTCTCCCCATCCCCAGGCACGTTCCCCTTGCAGGCCTTTCACCTACTTTACCATCCCCTAATTTAGCAAGCAGAAAGGGAACTCGATTGCACAAGCACGATTGGCTCCCCAGCCTCATTATTCCTTTTGCCGAGTCCCAGATGGTCCTCTCTCCCCAAGCCCTCCTCCCACTCCCACAGGCACTTCAGGAGAAACGCGCCCTCCGGAGACCATCAGAGGTCTTCCGTTTCCTCCACTTGGAACAGAGGGAACACAGGACGGGTGTGCAGACTTCGTATTTCCCACCAAGTTTTTACCTCCGCCTAGTGTTCTCCTTTCAAGGGAAAGTCCCTCTAGAAGTCTAACCTTAATCCCTCCTGCTGCATGCCTAAATCCCCTTTCCATCTTTTCTCTATAATACCACCCCCTTCAAAATCATAAACGCAATCTTCCTCTCGCGTTTGCAACCTCCTCTCCTGCAGCGCCCCTCTACTTTCCCAGCCCCTACAACCCGCCCTGGCCAGGAGAAGTTCTTCCTAGTCGCTCCCCACCCCAACTCCCTGCCCAAAACTCCGAGGACACTGAGGTCTCTGCCTGAGCTGTCCGCTACGACGGCTCCCGGGGCACGCCCGGACTCGCCGGCCGCGGGGCGGTGACCCCCGCAGCCGCCGGCGCAGCCACGACAGGGTTAAGGCTCCGGGCTGGGGGAGGGGGAGGGGTCCGGGAGGGGCGGCTGCGGAGCCAATCGGCGGCTGCAGAGTCCCGGGAGCCGCGAGCTAGGAGCGCTGTGCCGGGAGCCGGGAGCCGAGCGCGCCGGGCCGGGGCCGGGGCCGGAGCGGAGCGGAGAGGGAGCGCGCCCGCCCCAGCCCCGAGTCCCGCCGCCTTCCCTCCCGCCGCAGCGCGGGCCCAGCGGCCGCCGCCCCAGCCATGGAGCAAGACAGCAGCCCCCGAAAGATCCAGTTCACGGTCCCGCTGCTGGAGCCGCACCTTGACCCCGAGGCGGCGGAGCAGGTGCGGAACAGGGCGGGGCGGCAGGGGACTCGCCCAACCAAGGAAGAGGGACCCCGGGACTGGTGGAACCCGGGATCCCTGCCTGGTCCTCCCTTAGCAGCGCGCCCTTTTGAGGACGAACGTTCATTTTGGGGAGGGGGGGGTCTTCTGTCCCCTCCCCCACCGTCGGAGCCACATCTTGGATCTGTGCTTCTATGAGACTGAGCGAAGGAAGAGCGCCTCCTCTCCATGCCTGGCCCCGCGAGAGTCGCTCTCTTCCTCCCCAGCCCTGGGGGAGGGGGCCTGCTTGAGGACACGACCCCTCCCTCCTTAAACAACCCTGCATCGCTCACCCAGTCAACCCCCACCAGAGTTTCTGAGCTTGGTGGTGGCGCTGAAGGGAACAGCAGCAGTGCGGGAGGGGTCTGGGGAGGGGTCGGTAATGGAGGGGGGACCTGGAAGGGTGGGAGTTGGAAGAGGAGACACAGCTCTCCCTGTCCCCTCCTAACCGGGGGCCACCTTGCTGGGGTCCCAAAGTGATAACGGGAAGGGACTGAGGACAACTGAGAGGGCTGGGGCTCCGGGGATACGGGAGAGGGGAGAAGGGTGGTCATAGGCTGAGGCTCCCTTCTTCAAGTCTGGGCACGTGGTCCGTATTCCCAACTCCTGCCCTTTGGAGTGGGGAGGCTGGGTGGGACTGAGCTGGCCGCACTGGGAAGCCAGAGGTGGAGACTTTCCAGGGGCTGGGGTTCAAGATGAACCATATGCAAGGGAGAAGCACTGTGACGGCCTTGGCTCAAGGGGTGGGAGTCCAGGGCCCTGGCCCAGCCTCCTCGCCTGGTCTATTTTTAGCTCAGAGCAGCCTGGCAGAGGGGGCAGTGTATGAGAGTGTGTGAGCAAGTGTATGCCTCAGGGAGAGTGAGCGTGTGTATGGAGCCGATGACTCCCCGTGGTCCTTACTACTGCTCGTTCGCCAAATATTTGCTTATTTGCCTATTGCTCCATCTCTTTGTAATCTCTGTCCATTTGCCTAGACAGTCCCATTCCTAAAGAATATCAATTTCCCACAAGGTCAGTTCTCTGTTTCTCCCAACCAGCTGCCAGGCTCTGGCTGGCCACCCCCGCCCCCTCCTCCCACCCCACAAAAAAAAAAAAAAAAAAACTTTGTGACCTCTTGGGATAAGGTAGAGAGAGTGTTTTGTCATTTTTGTTACTCCACCTGTTTGGTAGAATAAGGTCTGGTGTGAAGGGAAGAACGGGTACACACTCTCTCCCTATCACTTTAGCTTCCCATTGTGGAGGTAGGGTCAGGTACCTGCGTCTCCATCCTCTCTCTGGCCTGGGGTGAACCCCTACCTCAGAGCTCTAAGATGTGACTAAGGAAAGATTGTGGTGAAGCCTCATAAATCTGTAGAGAATGAGGAGGACACAGAGCCACCAGCCTGGGGCGTGTTCCCTGGAAGTCAGGGGAAAGGCTGCTATGCCTGGAGGCAGGGCATCGGTCAGGATAACCTCAGACCCAGGAAAGGGGCTCAAGAGTCTGGGCGGTGGAGGATGGGGATGTGGTTCCCAAGAGAACTGCCTCCCACTGGCACAGACAGGGCCTGACACCTGCATCTGTTTGGTGTTGGAGGAGGCAGGTGTAGTAGGTATGTGGGGAGGAGGAGGGGGAAGGCCAGCTGGTTCAGGGATCTAGGGGACAAGGGAGCGGCACAAGGCAATGCTGAGGAGCCAGAGGGAAAAAAGAGAGCTGGGACTTGGGCCTCCTTTCTCTAATCTTCAGAATCTGTGTTTCATAGGCCTGAAATTCTTCCTGCAGTCTAACCTCAGCCCTTCCTGCTGTGTTAGGCAAAAAGCTCCAGGCTTGGCAGGTGCTCCTAACTCAGACCAACATGGGAGGGCAAAAGGAGTTGGAAGCTGTAAGTTATAGAGCAGAGTGGCAGGGGCAGAGGGGTGCCCACAGCTTCCAGATCCTTGACATGACTGGTTTGGAAATAAATCTGAAGCAAAGGTACCATGTGCTCTTGAGAGCTAGGATTTGGGATAGGTATAACATAAAGAAAAGAGATCGTCTACTGATCTACTAGTTCAGGTGCCTGGGAGGTGCCTCAGGAAGTCCGACTTTCCTCCTTTCTGCTGTAAGGATAGCAAGAAGGGACCTGTCCAAGACCACACAGCCCTGCTGCCCTCTGTCATACTTGGAGTCTCCTTCTTGGACTCCCCACTCTGATGTTGTCTCAACCCACTAATCTCCATTCCACCCTCTCCCTGTCTCCTTCTGTCTTCTACCACCACCATACCCCACTCCTCCAGGATGGAAAGAAGTAGAGGAGTCTTCTAGTCGAAGGATGGCCCCCACCCCATATACAAGAAACAGATGGTCCCCTGCCCATGTGCATCACAGTTCATGTTCGTTCAGCTCATACATGTACACACAC